AATTTAAAATCCACCAGGAGAATAAATGAAAATCAACTCACAGTGTCTGATAAAAATGATGAGAGCAGCAGCCAGCAGAACACAGAGAACCAGCAGGACTACAGTCTCTGATGGAAGCTTGGAGTTTCTCTTTGGTTTTTCAGCAGCTTCACCTGAGGAGCATTTAGAGGAGAATCACATCAAGAGCTGGAGCCAGACTCACAGCATCCAGCCATCATCCAACCATCATCCAACCATCATCCAGCCATCATCCAACCATCATCCAGCTATTATCCAACCATCATCCAACCATCATCCAACCATCATCCAGCCATCATCCAACCATAGAGCCAACCTTACATACAACCATACATTCATCTTTACATCCAACTATCATCCAACCATACATCCAGCCATAATCTAACCATACATCCAACCAAACAACTGAACATCCAACCATAAAAAGGCAGAGAAACAAGTGAAATATACAGGAGAACGACCCTCCAGTAGGGGGTGTAAATCACCAGCTTTATCACGATACGATATTACATCAATATTTTTGGATGACGATTTGATATTTCTCGATAGCACAAAGTCTGTCACGATATGATTTTGATTCAATTCAATTCACATGTCTGCGATCGATATAATGCGATATCATATGCCCGTCTAACACAATAGCTGTGTTAGATGGGCATATAATATCGATTCACATCAAGAACATGATGACGATATACATCGATATTTTCATTTTGCCTCGATATAACTGAATCATGAACCATTCAAATCGAAATATCGATAAAGATCTACCTCTAGGGCAGGGGTGTCAAACTCATTTTCACTGAGAGCCACATGAGCATTATGGTGGCCCTCGAAGGGCCACTTGTATATAACTTTGATGTTTCATGTTTAACTTTGACTAAACAGAGTTTTAACACATCCTCTTTTAAACACTGATAAGAACTAAGTGTATGACTGACTAAATCTGAAATAAATACAGAAAGATTATTAAAAGTAAAACAAATAATGTGGGGATGCACCAATATGAAAATTTCAGCTGGTATTGATATCCGATATAATTATTGCTGTTATGGCCGATAACTGATATTTACCGATATTACACAAACACACAAATTATATTATACATATACACACAATCACACTTGGGTCTTTTGTTGATACTGTAAATAAATGACCAGACCTCTGACATGGCTCCCTACTTCTGTTATTCTTGGTAACGCAGCGTCAATATCACTATCATGATCAAACAGATGCCGCTCAACCAACCATCTCGCATCCCACAACATAAACACAAAGGGAAAAAGGGGAAAATCAATGTCGGATGTTAATATCGGCCCAGTTTTACATATCGGACCAACACCAATATTCGAAAAAAATAGCCAATATCGGCCGATACCGATATAAGTACCTATATATCTTGCATCCCTAAAGTAAAGTTTTGCTCACTGATGAGTTTCTGGTGAGTAGCTGCATTACGGCAGATTTAGTTTATGTTTGATGGTGACTTTAAAGCAGCTTATTTTCAGACATTAGCACTGTGCTATCAACTAAATTGCTCAGTTACTTCAAGTCAACAGCTTAGGGACAGGAATTTTTTTAATTTATTTTTTTCATTTATTTTATTAAATTAATTTTGTTGCATTTAACCATAAATTTAAAGTTTACCATAGATAGAAAAAACAGATATCATGTTAAGTAAAAAAATAAAATAAAATATTTATTTGGGGGGGTGGGTACCCCTCCGGCGGGCCACACGGGAGACACCCGCGGGGGGCCTTGTGTTTGACACGTGTGCTCTAGGGCTACGTGTGCCCACCTATGTCCTATATTCTCACATGTGATTGACCACAAGGCCAGTTAAAGGGAAAAAAATCCTTGGAGGCCGGCTCCCACTTGGTGATTCCCTACAAAGCATGATATCACTACCACTCATTCGAGAAAATTCACAAAACATCCAAACATTTTAATTAATATAACAATAAAACAAAGATAAATAAATAAATAATGAAATAAATAAAAACCTGACCCTTTCATTATTAAAATATGTCAAATAAAATATTTTTCAATAAACTATCACATTGATAGAAAAAGCAAGAAGCGGAGTGTAACCACAGAGACATGATGTTATCTGATGCTGCTCTGATCACCTTCATCTTTATATAGTTTGACTAAAAATAAACAGCAGTCATCACTGTCTAACCTGCTTCAGTTCACTTTAAAGTTAATAGTTTCAGTCAGTAATAAACATTTAATATATTCATTATGTTCAGACTGTTCAGCATGTCACCTCTGACTGCAGCTACTTCTTCATCTTCCTGCTGATGAAAGTCCTCATCTTCTTGCATCATGCAGACACGGAGACACTCAGTCCAACTGGCTCTGAAACACAAGCAGCATCTGTTCTACGTTTAATTCATGCAGCAACGTTATTCATCAGATTTTAGACTTTTTTAACTGGGTCAGAATTTTTGGTGAGTGTTTTTATTATTATTATTATTATTTTAAATGTAAAAAAACAAACAAAAAAAACCACCAAGAATATGAGAACACCATAAAACACAAACTGTTAAAACAGAGACTTTTAAACAAGTTTTTAAAAACGTTTATTTAAAAACAAACACTTTAAAACTAAAACCTTCAAGTTTTCTGATTAAAGTGACTAACTTATTAAAAAGACATGAATATGATTAATTTGTTTCCACAACACAAAACAGAATTTATTACGTAAATAAATATAAAAATAATCTAACAAATAAAAACACATTTTGTCTGCAGCATCACATGGTCTCGGCATAGAAACTTTGAATCAGATTATTTAGTTGAAGAGAAAATCTTGTAAACTGACCATCAATGTGTGGGGGCTCCTCTGTCCACGGTTCAACAGCAAATCTGGATGTCAGCTTCATGTTTGACAGTTTTGTGTTAAGAAACTTCCTGTTGAACTTAAAGGAGGACGCTTCATCTACAGAATGCTTCCTGATTCCATTTTGATTGAAATGTAGATAAATGTTGTTATGGCAACAGGTGGGTAAAAAGGTTTAAGTGTTTTTAACAAAATACCTCATGAACCACTGGATAGATTTTATTGAACCTCTTAAATTATTAACTTTTGAAGCCAACAAAGGTAAATATTTTTCACAGACCTATTTCATTTTCAAGATTTGACCAAACTGTTCACAACTTTGTAATTTATATATATATATATATTTAAATGTA